CTTTTTTTTTTTCTTCTAGACCAGAAAAGGAGGATTTGGGTCCTTTCCAAAATCTCAGAAAGTTCTTATTCCTGGGAAGTCCCATACAATCACCAGATGTGCATCTACAAGCTCTATCACGCACACCTGATAACGATGGCACGTACAAGCCCTGGGGGGTGGCCTCTGCTTGCAGGGATCTTTGGAGCCCTGCACAGGAGACCTGGCACCTCCTGGCATCTGGCAGGAACATGGAAGCCCTGTATTCATAGGAGATCAATCATCTCTCTTTGGTTGCCAGTTCCAAGGTTGCCCGGGCTCTAATTTGTCCTTGGCATCCTCTACACTTGTGGAGCTGGGTAAGTTTCCAATCCATACTCTTCATCTGAGCCCCACCTACTCCATAGATAAGAAAAGCATCAGCATTTTTCCTGCAGTATAGGGCACATTTCAGTGTGGTAACTCTGTTTGACCATAAAAGCAAAGCAGAAGCCCATTAAAGCGGAAGGGAATCCAGTCTATCCTGTGGTTTGAAAATCACATTATTTTGCGGTTCGGCTATATTCAAAAAGAGGCAACTGTGAATGTCAAGCAACATTTAACTCTTGTTGCTAAAATTTTCTTCTGTTATCTAGCTATTATGCTGTAATTCAGTGTATGCATCCGGGCTGTTTTTTCTTTTGGAACAGGAGCAGAGGATAAGACCTTTCTCATTCTGTTGGTCAATGCATCTAAAAAGGAGATCTTCACTGTGCTCACTCTGAAATCCTTGTCCTTGTGACATTATGCAAGACACTGCTAGGAGCAGGACTCCCCTAACCACATTCCGAGGAAGAACTTTGCTGGAGCAATATTTCACCATTTTGCTGCCAACCTGGGGCTCTCTCCATCACACAGGTTTGATTCTTGCTGATGTCAATGACTGCCAAAAGTGTGATTCACAAAATGGAGAAGATTTATACTGGTGGTGCTGGTCCTGTCTGAACTGGTCATGGTAGCTGGAATGCCTTTGCCCAGAGACATCAGTGTGCTGCAGTGCAAAGAAATCTGGGCCTTGCTTCCAGGCAATTTCTGACAAAAACCGACAGTTCTAAGAATGCTAGACCTCCATTTCCCTCTCCTCTAGTCCCTGCAATACAGTTTCCTCTTATTCTATTTTCGTAACGCCTACACTCATGGTATAATGTCCACATAATTTTCCCTGGTCTTGCAGTTTAGAACAAATCGTAAGATTGCATAAGTGCGTAATTACTCTGAGATCCTGTGAAATACTCAGCATTTTGGAAAATAAACCAACTGCCAATCATTTGCCTGCCATTATCTGCCTCTCTAGGAGAGCAGATCACCAAAGCAAACATACAGAAATAGAGCACGCATCTCTACAGTATTCTTGATTTCAGTGCTGACCTTGAAACTCTGTGTGAAAAAAGAGATGGTGTCCAGGACTGTCAGGCACACTTCAGTGGCAATATTGCCCTCCAGCAACGCCTGGTGCACAATATCAGCTTCTGATGTGCCTGCATCTGGGGATGGAAAGCAAATCAGGAACAAATGGTGCTCAACAATACAGCTCCCAGAAAGCCTAAAAGCTGATACACACATAGGGTTCTCCCCTGACACTTCTCTGCATGCTGGAGGATGAGGTAAGAATAGTGAGACACGGAATTTACCAGGTCCATTTGGAAAAGCTGTCTCAGGCTAATGCCACCCAACACAACACATGTCAGTATCTTCACTTAATCTCACTGTCTTCAAAATCTCAAAATGAGGCGACTCAAGTGGCCCCCATGGAGGGGAAATAGCAGTGTCTTTCAAGGGAGTGAAACTCAGCCATGTGAAGAGACTTAGAGCATGTCTTGGCCAAGGTCTCTGCAAGGGAACCAAGGTGAGGGCTGAACTTCTCCCCCAGAGCAGCTGTCCCTGCTCTCTACCCAAACCAGGGGGTCTCCCAGGGAATGTGAGTCAAGACCAGTGAGAGGGGAAAGCTACACAAGTACTAAGTCCCAGGGCTGATTTTTAAGGGACTGACTGAAATTTCCCCATGCCCACTTCCCCAGATTTAGAAATGTTGCAGAGATACCAGTGATCACGGTACTTCTCTAGAGCTTAAACATCCCAAAGCAACAAGGAGCAAATGAGAAAAGGCTGCATGCGGTTTTTAAGAAGCTAAAACACCACAGTCCCACTTCATTCCTCTGTACATACTGTGATTAAGAGTGAAGGAGGTCTCCAAGCTGCCCAGATGCTGAAGTCGTGCCTGCATCCCTCCAGGTCTGCTGCGGAGCACTGGCATCGTCTGAGATTTCCTATCAGCTCCCACATGCTTGGATAACCAGGCATCGTGCACCCTGCAAGGGCAAGCTAAGGCTGAGGATTTGGACGAGCAGCAGCAGCCACCTCACTACAGGTTACATGGGGCGCTTGTCTGGGGTCCTGGCCACGCTCTGATGTGCTAAGCTCATGCTGGACAAGTCCAGCAGGGTTGTCCCCAGCTATCCTGGTCTCAGCAAAGCTGGTCTGGCCTGCACCCATTGGCAACACCTTGCCTGCACCTAATGAAGCAGCAGAGATGGAGCCCACGACTCATGTTTCTCCTGCGCTGACTGCAAGGCCATTGCAAACACGTGCAGCCAGTGGGGATCCCTGTGCTCTCATGCAGGGCACTAAGATGACGGGATGCTGCTCTGGTTTCGAGGCAGCAAGGAGCATCCCAGCCTCCCATCCCGGCCCTGCAGGCTTCCTGCGTGCCCGGATTGGCCTGGCATGGGCACACGAGCTCCCTTCCTGCTGCAGCAGCAGCTGGGAGGGCAGGACGGAGCCCTGCGGCGTCGCGGTGGAAAAGGGCAATACCTGGCGATGTTTCTCTTCCCCACGTATCTGAAGTGGAACAAACACACTCTAGAGAAGAAGAAGAAAAAAGTCTCAGAGATCCTGCAGATTAGGAAAAACTCAAAGCATTTCAAATCAAAAGTGGCCTTGCCTGTGGACACACACGTGAAGGTTTCAAGCTTATACTTATGTTTTCCTTGAGCTCATACCCATAGTCTCTGAAACCTGCCCTGCGGGCAGCTGAGCACCCTCTCTGCCACAGTCTGAGCTGATGCATTCAGGACAGCAGCCACTTCACCTTGCTTTGGCAACAGAAATTGCCTGGGGCAGGGGAAAATTATTTTGTTATATCCTGGCCAGACACCTTTAGTGGTGCATAGGGATGTGGGCATTTTGAGAGACACAGGGCAGACATTTCTTCTTTGCCAGCCCTGCACAACATGAGGTTTAACAGTGCAAAGATGCAGAGTTTGAGCCTCCCTATACTCACTCTAGAAGCACAAGGACGTTGATCAGTTCTTGAGGGGTGAATTTGTTCCAGTAAGCCAAAAGAGTATCTGAAAGAAAAAAAAAATCCAATGAGATTAAAAAACAAGCAAACACATACACATAACTTTGAGAACAAAACTGCCAGTGATGGTCTCCTGCCTTTCTGGCTGCCCATGCGAGACACCAACCTTCAGAGATCATCTTCACAATGTAGAGGTAGCACATGAGGAGCGTCCGGATCTCAAACTGGTCCAGGCGGCTGCAGTGCGACACGCTGCTCCTCGTGGAGCTTCTGCGGATCTAATGGGACACGGGCATGAGGCAGAGGCCAGCGTGGCCCGGGTGGCTCAGGCTGTGCCAGGGGAGAGCCTGGGGCCAAATACGGCCCCACATGTGGGACAACGTGGGCACTGCAAGTGGCTGGGCACGGTGGCCTTCCTGCTCTCCCTGCTGCTTGCAGCCCAACAGCACCACTCCTGATGTGTTTGGAGACATCCCATCCATCAGGGCTGCTGCTCATCCAGCGGGCCCCTGTCTGGAAATCCTGGATAAATGGCCAAACTCTTTTCTGCCCAGAAAAGAAATGCTGGGTGGAGAAGGATGACATATCCAGCTAAACACATGGCAACTCTGCTTTCACTTCCCCTGCTTTCTAAAGTTTGCTAGAGCTTTTAAATTCCATGACATTTTTGAAGCCAGTTCTTGTCAAACAAAATAGTTCCCTAGCTTTCAAGATGCAAAGCAAGATTCTAAGTTTGTTTAAATAGATACACTTTAAAACAAAACGCCAGTGAGCAAAAAAAAAGAGCATTCTGCTTAAAAAAGAATCCTTTTTTTTTTTTTTTTTTTTAATTATTTTGAGAAGTTTTCCCCTCCCCCCATTTGATGACTTAGCCAAAGATAACTGAAATACTTCTGGTGAGTCAATCTGTGTGGGAAAGGCTGATTATGCTGTGGTGGAAAGACCAGATTTTCAACGTTTCACCATTTTTTTGCATTCTCCCTGCAAGCCCTAGCCATAACCTTGGACAAACAGCTACAGCTAAGCTCTAAGCAGGACTCTTCTTTTTAAGCTGTGCCTCACATGTTTGGAGAGCAACCCAGAGGTCTCATTTGTTGTTTATTCTTGGACAGATTGTGGATGTGAGTCATAAGAAAACAGAATTAAACACTCACTTTAGAGCCGGAGATATGGCGCTAGACCCAGGACTTTGCAGCTGACCCATGCCAAACTACCAAGCTCACCCAAAGAGAACAGGCAACGAGCAACCTGTCTAAAGCTGTGACCTCTGCGCTGGTCACAGCGCTGCTTTTGAAAGGCTTTGTGGATATGATATTTATTAACACTAAAGGAATTCTCAGCTACTCTGAAAAATGTCCCTTCTAGGACATGGGAGAGGGTGATGGGGACGGAGCTGAGAACATTGATTCCTGCAAACCAGCCGCGCGTTGCTGCCAGCAGAGCTGGAGCACATCCTTAGAGCACTGCTGCATGCAAATGCTTGGGTATTCATGTGTTTGGATAAACTTGGTCCCATATTTCTCCTATTTCTTTCTTGTATTTCACACAAAGGAGCTGCGAATGCTGCACCTCCCCTGAGCCTGTCAGGGCACAGCCGGTAGGAGCCCGGATAATCTCTGCCTTACTTGTTATAAAGGCCAAAGCTGTTAAGGGCACAGGGATTATCCTGGCCAATCTGAGACATGTGCAAAGTGCCTGGGGGAAAAATCAGAGCTGGGTTGTATAAATACCCAATTTCCATACATGCAATGTGGAAATAAAGACAGTACATGCTTTTGGAATCCTTGGGGCCAGGCCTTTCTGCGGTTTGACCAGTCGCCTGGTGTATATTTGGGTTTATGGTTGTTAATCTTGTGCTGGCTTTCCTAGAAGTGCCTCATCTTCTCTGAAGTCCCTGGCCATGGGAAGCCTCATGTCACAGCTGGGAGTGCTCTGCCTCCCAGCTGTGCATGGACACCAGCTCCCAGCTCCATGGATGAGGCTGCTCAGGCAGGCTCAAACCCATCCAAGCACAGAGAATACAGCTGCATGTGGACAGTGTACTGCAGGAGCTGAGGTTTTCCTGCTGGATTTTGCCTTTCATGTTTTTCGACATTTTCAGTCACTTTTCAACAGCTGGTATTTTTAGCTCGGGGATTGTCAATGATGGAAAGCATACCAGATTGGAGAGTCTGAGCTCCCCTATTAAACATGAAGCCATTTGCATCCAGGGACATTTTTAAGCTGGCTTTTGAGGACACAATCACAGGCAACTCCTCCTCCCACCCCGTTTCTCTTCTGGCACATCCCAGGCATGGGCCACGGACCTGTGTGTTCCTTCTAAGCCCAGATACGTTACATTTTCGCACTGATCCGGGGAACCTGTTGCCCCCTCCGAGTTCAGGGATCCTTTTGAGTCTTCTCGCTTTATCCCATGTCCGTTTGGAAGTGCTGCTCCACAGGCTGTAAAAAATAACAAGCCCCACGATGACACCATTTGCACCTACACTCTGCAGGGCGCTGGCCCATCACTGACATTGCAAGGAGCAGGCGATTTGGACAGAAGAAATGGGGATTTAGTGGTTAATCTGGAAAGAGCAACCAGGGTCACATAAAAGGGAAAAGAATTAGAGCTCTGAGAAAATGTTTGTCCTCTGAGAGGTAGTTTAGGTGAAGGCTGTTTAGGAGGTTTGAAATACTAAGCACTAGTAATAGCTTAATTTAAAACAAGGAGAAATTTAAAATTTGGGAGAACTAATTTACCTGTATCTTTGTCTGCAATCAGACTGGATCTGTTTGAAGGAGATGCAAAATTGCACATGAATTCATCTCTGGAAGCCTGCAAAGCAAGAGGAGGCTTTTTTTCCAACAGGGAGAGACAACACTTCTTCAAAGTAAGGAAGAGAATAACGAAGCAAAAGGCAAATCAGAGCAGTCTTGTAAAACACAGATGAAAAACAAAATCAATTTTCTTACTTTCATAACAAGGAGACAAATGACTTGGGAAGCTGCACAATGAATTCCAAAGCATACTGAGGTGAGTTATAGCAATTTTTTTCTTCCCCCTTTTTTTTAAATCATTTGATCTGAAACTATTTGAATGTATTTATTTATTTATTTATTTATTTATTCCTTTTATTTTGCTCAGAACATGAAGGGCTGAGCCCGCTTGGGAACCCCACATTGCCCTCAGGCAGACAAGGCAACTCCCAAGCAAAGGTGCTTGGAGTCTAAGGCTGAGTCCTGTTGCAACTCATTGCACTCAGAGGGAGTCACCTCACCTTGCAGGATGAGGCACAGAGCACAGGGATACATTAAATGACAGCAAGCAACAGGCTTGCTCCGCAGCCAGTGCTGCAACTGGGACAAGCTCACAGGAAAAGCAGAATTAAGGCAAACAGCGCAGGGCCACAAGGATGATCAGGGGCCTGGAACATCTGCCCTACGAGGAGAGGCTGAGGGAGCTGGGCCTGTTCAGCTGGAGAAGAGAAGGCTGAGAGGGGACCTGAGCAGTGTCTAGAAGTACCTCAAGGGAGGCAGTGAGGAGGATGGGGCGGCCTCTTTGCACTGGTGGCCACCGACAGAACTAGAGGAAACGGCCACAAACTGAAGCACCAAAAGTTCCACAGGAACTTAAGGAAAAATTTCTCCCCAGTGAGGGTGCCAGAGCACTGGAACAGGCTGCCCAGAGAGGTTGTGGAGTCTCCTTAAAAAAAACAGGAGCGGCCCGAAGAGCGGCAGGTAGAGCTGGGCAATCTTCGCCTGCTGGTTCTGAAACACAGACGGGGAGGAAAATGCAGCTAAGAGCCCAGGGTTTCAACAGGTTGCAAGTTAAAAAGGAAAACACTTGAGCTGATGGTTTTTACACATTGCAAACTTGTTTGGCTTCTCATTGGCACTTGTGGAGTGGCTGTTAGGTGTCACCATTCCAACTGCTGCCTTCGGGCAGACAGGGACTCTGGAGCCTGAGTGACATTCCCGGTCATTCAGGAAGCATGACAAACTAAATCCCGGATTTCCTGACTCTCTCACTGGCACTTCATTTGCGCAGGCTGATTTTCAAGTTCAGCGCCCATGAGTAATGAAACAAAAATATCTGTTCCTCGCCTTGTGATGACAACTGCTTCCAGTCAGGAACTCTCCATAGAAAATGTTTCTGGATGAGAGGGTTTTTAGGAATGGGTTTCATTTGGATTGACTGATACAGATTTGTTTTATTAGGTTTTAGAATGATCAAAGATGGTCTGCCAGGCCTTTTCTAAATGCAAGACTTGCACCCCAAATCCTTTTTTGTTAAAAATTGATTACTCTGGACTCAACAGAAAAGTTCAAAAAAGCACGCAAGGCTTTAAAATTGAATCATGGATTTAAACTGACACAATAATTTAAATTTTTCTTCTGATTCATGGCGATAAAAATAAAAGAAATCTTGAAAGTGCCCATCGGTCAAGAAAACTGAGTTGTTCTATGGCACCGACCACAGGGTTTCTGCAGCCGGAGGACGCCTGTGCCAACAGACTCGGGCACAAAGCCTGTGCCAGCAGCCTCGGGCACATCCAGACCATCCTGCCAGAGAGATGATGTCTCATTCCCAGGTCCATCCTGCACCGGCGCCAGGCGGACTCCTGGCCACATGGCCCTGAGCACAACGGAGGCTCAGAAATCCAGTGGGATTAATTTCAAAACGCATGAAGCAAACGGATGCTGAATTAATGTGAGGATTTTTGGGCACCCAGAAGAGCAGGCCACCTCTGAGCTGGCAAGTCACTGCTGCTGTACTGCGTCTGGGACCCGGCACACGCCGCGGCTCTGCTTCCAGGCAGTGCAACCACCAGTGATCTCACTGCACACAAAAGCAGGCTGCATCCCGCTCAGCTCTGCTGCCAAACGGGCTGAGAAGCAAGAGGAGGGGAGCTGGTGCCAGTGCTCTGTCCCAGGAGGCAGCCCGTGTTCCCAGGTCAAACCGGGAATGCAGCAGATCAGGAGCAATTAGAGGAGCTAATTTGGAAGCAGAAATTGGCTTGCAGTTTATAGCAAGGACCACCTGTACCTGCACAGGTAGTTCAGTGCTTTCAAGGTCAACAGGGTTCAGCATCAAGGAAGGGACCAAGCCCATCCCCGAGCTCTTGTGGTGCCATCACATGCTAATGCTCTGCCTGGAGAAAGCTGCAGAGCGACCCAGCGGAAAGACAGCATCCCATGGGAATGCTCTGATTTACTAATTAGTAAAACATGCAGTTAACTTGTAACAGAGATCAGTTCCATATTCTAATTAGAGTATAATAATACAGGATATTAATTTAACCCCAAGTCCAGAGCACTGATGTTGCTTAATTTTGAACAGCCTCCTGGCTAATGGTAGCTCAAGTTCCTTATTGGCTCAGAGCTTTATTACCTAAATCCTCAGCATGGGTTAGAGTAATGAGCAGTCTGCAATGAGCAGACTGAATTACTTGTTTTCCTGGATCATTCCTAGAACTATTACTACACCACCATAACCATCAGCAACTTAGAACAGTGCTCTAAAAGGCAACTAGAGCACCCTAAAATGCACCATGCAAAATCTAAAACTCTGATGTGCGTCTTTGCAGGAAATTCAATAACACTATTTTTAAAATCCAACAAAACATGCCCGACCTTGTGCTGGTATCTGTTGTCGAAGGCGTGCTTTATCAAGAGATTTTTTAAGACCGCGATGGCCGTACATCTGATATCGTAGTTGTCCTGCAAGGCGACGGAGGCTTCTCGGAGAAGCATCCCCACCAGGAAATGATGCCGGCAGTACTCGTCCGTTAAACTGTATTCGAGATTTACATCTGAAAGAAACAGCAAGACAATGGTTAAGGGAACTGTTCCTAGAATCTATTCAGAGCAAGACAGAGGGGTCCTGTAAGCCCAAACAGTTCATAAGGCCTGTTTATACCTCGCTCTCCTACAGTGCAGGAACCCTTTAATAGGTTTGAACTGACTACAGCCTTTTCTCCCAGCAGATTCAGCCATATCAAAGATCCTTCCTTCCTCCAGTTCAGGATAATCGAGATTAAGCCATATCAAAGATCCTTCCTTCCTTCCTCCAGTTCAGGATAATCATTAATTTTGGCCCCTCACAGTTTCAGCAGCAGCTAAATGAAGGCTGTCTATGGTGTCAGGCTTTTCAAAGACTAATTGTAACACCAGAGATGGCTGAATCAGGTAGGGACAGCTCTGCTTGCTGCCTGGGGACAGCTTTACTCCTGACAGGGGGTGATCTGAATCCCCAAACTGTCCGGAGGGGTAACGGGCCGAGGAGAGGGTGCATTTGTGACGGTCACCAGGAGACGTGTCCCTTTTAGCCAGGGTCAGAGAGCGGAATGGAGGCAAATGCAGCTGCAAAGCCTGAGGGATGCAAACGAGGACAGGGTGCCAAGTGACCACTGCTGTGGCTTCCAATAGATTATACGGCCGGGCTTTCCAATCCCCCTGTGAGGAGCCAGGGCTGGATGCCAGCAGCTGCTTGCCACAGACTGTGAGAGTTCATTAACAGATGTCACAAGCTGCATGGACTTAGAGAAGGAAGGCAGCCCACCATCTAAGCACCTTAGCTTAACTGCTGCCTCCTGGAGATGCAGGCAACACCCACACTGTGCCCAAAGCAGGGGCTGCTGCAAGGGGAAGGCATCACTGCCACCAACTCGCCTGGACAAGGTAGAAGCGACGGAGCCAGACTGTGCGCTCGGGCTGCTAGGAATGAGCTTGCCCTGACACTGTTACCTCTTTTGGGCAGCTCAAAAGAGATCACAGCTCCTCGGGCAGAGTCTGATCACGGTTTCAAGGGGCAAAGCTTGTGGCAGTTAAGTCTCCCGGAGGGATAACCCCAAAGCTGCGCGTTCTTTCCCCAAAGGGAACAAATGCCGTGTGCTCTGCTTGGATGGTTTCTTGAAAACCCCACAGGTGTAAAAGTTTCTCTGTGGTGAGACATAATGCACACACAGAGCTTTGAAAATCCCAGCCAAAGGGTTCCAGCAGCTCTGTCCTGTCGCTACAGAAGATATTTTTAAGTTGATTGATTCATAAGTAACATTTACTGGTTTGTGAAAGTCTCATTCGGAGGAAAGGGAAAGCAATCTGGAGCATTATCTAGCTTTCATTGTTAGTCATTTTGCAAATGCTAAGCGTCACACATCACGGCTGTTTCATTAACTGGATGCAAGCTAGTTGATTGGTGGCTGCATATTTAATTTGACATTAGAGCATTCAGTGAACCTGAGGCAAATTGTTCCACAGCAAATGAAAAAAAAAAGTCTAATTTATGTGTAAAAAGGGACAAATAAAAAGACAGCAAAAATTAACAGGAAGAAGCAATGCTCCAGATCTTGAAAAATGGGACAGCACTTCATGTTTTCACATTACTTGTAAGGCTATTGCTTAACCTCCAGCTTTCATCAATCTCTTGTCCTTTTGCCATGGCAGGATTGCAAAAACGACTCCGTGCTGCTGTTGCGAGGCCGGGCTGCAGGGTCTGCTGGGGCTGATGGAAGCCGCCTGTCCCCAGGCGAGGCCGCAGAGCAGCCGGCACCCTCCTGCTAGCGGAGGCTTTTCCGAGACGCTGCTCCAAGCTGCCTTGGAGACTCGGCAGGATGTGGTCACAAGGACGTGCTCTGCCCGCGTGCCTTCCTGCACCGATTCTGCGGCAGGAACCCCGGGGGCTGCTCCTGTTTGCAGTAAGGGAATAGCAGAGGGGATCAGCGGGCACGTTCCCCCTCCTGTCGAGCAAGCCCATCTCCTCTGTGATGAGAGCACGGCAATCCATGGCTCTAGGGGCTCCTGTAATCCCAGGCCTGATCATAAAAACAGATGAGTTTGCAATAGAAATGCCCCATTTCAAGTCTCCACCGTGGCAGTCAGAGCACAAGCACCACCCAAAGGGGCTTCTGCTGAATGAGGATTGACCGCTCTGCTGTCAGAGAGGCAAGCAAATGGCATCATTGCCCTTATTTTAAAATATACGTTTTAAAAATAAAACCTCACCTGGCAAGTGCCTAGTCTTAGTAAAACAGAGGAGAAAAGATGAGCTGCTCCTGCAGCTTTTCAGATTATCTATTGCAAATGCAGAGCTGAATGCTAACCAAGAAAAAGTGTTTGTAGGTTATCGTGCTACAAACACGCAATGAGCGGGCGCTGGGGCCACTTTTAGCATTGCACTTTGTTAAGCTATGCCAGACATGTAGCCAAGCTGATGTGAGTGTAAACAGATTAGCAGATGGCTCAGAAAGCTCAGAGAACATGCCACAAGAGGGGAAAAATGTGAGTTATTGTTGCCCCAGCCACCTGGATGTAAAGGGAAGCATTATGGGATTTGTATGACTGCACCCTAAGGCTCTGCCACGCATCCCATTGCTTCCATCAAAATAAATCCACTAAGCTTTCACATGGAAAGATGCTAAAACTCACTCTCATCTCCGGTATTTGGCCAGCCTGTGAGCACTCAAACTTTGTAATCTTTGGTGTGTATTTCTAGCACAGATGAGGCATCACGACCCAGAGAGAATGCACATCCACACCAATCTTAGAGAGCCGGCCAGGAACGCTCCCGGCTCAGGGCTCTGTCCTTACTGCCACTTGCAGCAGCTGCAGCCAACTGTGCAGTTATCCAGCGTCGACCCAGGTCCTCAGCACCCCGCTCTGCCCTGCGGCGAGCAGGACCACGAGGGACACGGCGAGGCCGCGAGCCGAGGCCGGGCACACGGCAGCACCGCACGTACCCACACGCTCGGTACGTGCCGGAGGCTGGCGCGGGCCCAAGCTTGAGCACAACCCCGAAAGTGGAGCGAGCGGCTACGCTCTTGTTCCAAGGTGAAAGCAGGAGGGATCTAAATCTTTTGGCCACAGAGCTGGCAGCAGAGCAATGAATTGGATCTGTCCTCCTGCTGCCCTGATCAACGAGACATCCTGCCTCTTGGGAGATGCTGATGGTTGCGGGAGCAAAGGATTGCACTTGTACTATTTAATATAGGTACTGTAACAAAGGCAATTTCTTTTGGACACTGTTAATCTGATGCAAATTTAAAGACAGAAAATACTGAAAGGACTGATTGCAGACCAGTCCGGAGCTCAATAACTTATAAGCAGCAAGGCTGTATCTTTTCCCATGATTAATGTAAATCAGGCTAACCAAGACATACATTTATTTGACACTAATCCCAGTTTCACCTGGTCAGAAGGCTTTGAGAGCAATAAATTTCAGCTTTCTAGACAGTCTCTTGAGGAATTACCTACCTTGAACTCGCTGCAGCTTGGGTTTAGAAAATGTCATTGGTAAGTTCAGAGGAATGTAATGCTCATGGTTGCAAATGGTTTGAAGAAATTCAAACTTGTATTCAACCAGGAGCTGAGGGGGGGAAAAAGACAAATAAAATATGGTCACAGTTAGACCCATTTGCTCTCAGTTCAGTGTGTTTCTTGCACAGAGTCCAAACCTCAGTAATAATCAGCAGATTTTTCTCTGGTCCTTTGAAGTGTCACTGCATGCAACTGTCACTTGAGACAGGCAATTCTTTTATTGTCCAGACTTTCCCTCTCACGCATCCATTACCTTTGCCATCTGTACCATTAACCAAACCCTCCTTCAGTTCAACTGCTTTGACTCTTTACATTGTTTTAAAGTGTAGATGCATATGGGCTCTTGGCCCAGATAAAGAGGTCTCTGCCTCCAGAAGATGCTGCAGGAATTGTGTTAAAAGGGCCTCCAGGAGGGTTATAAAATAATCCTTGCAAAGGTTTGACTGCTGTAGATAAGTACAACTGCAAGCCATCTTTCAAGAAATACCCTGCTTACCTTAGGATCTTTTGGGCTGAATCCAGAAATGTAATCATTTATCAAGTTAAAAACAAATCCTCTATCCATAAAGGTCAAACAGCGCTGCAAAAAGCATAACAACAAGTGAACAATTATTACAGAAAACAATAGTCTTAAATGTTCTCTGCACTACCACCCTGCCGGCAGTCAAATTTGATCTCCTCCAGGCTGCTGCTCACTTCCCAAAATTCACTGAACCGATTCTCTGAAACTACTTGGATGACCTCACTTAGGTCTCTAGTGGACAACAGAAACACTTAAAATGAGAGCACACATACTTCATCTCAGGTTTTGAACAGCTGTTGGGCATGACTAAAAACCCCAGATAACATATGGGGGATCATAGCTTCTTTCTGTCCCTCTGAAAGTCAACCCCCTGGTTTTTCAAGTCTGAAGAAACTGCTGAGATGATTGAGTACAAACATCTGTTTGCTCGTTGCTTACTTCTAATCGTCTTTTCCTTAAAGCCTGGGAGAAGGAAAGAAATTGCTGACCTTCAGGAAGTTAGCCAAGCTAAAATTGACATTCCTGGACTCCTCGGGAATTTCATTATAGCGAATGGTCACATGAGGAATGATGGCAAGCAGCAACGAATGCAGGGCATGCTGGTAGGAGTCAGGGAAGCGCTGGCCTCTGGGGAGCTGAAACCAAAGGCATGTCATACAGCAAACAGCACTGAGTGCAGGCATAAATTTCCTTTAGCATTTGTTTAGGTTATTTCCTAACAAAACATCGACACAGAGAGCACTGGCTGAAACTCCAGTAGCCAGCATCAGAAAAAGAGGTTGCACAAACCGCAACAAGCTTGTGAACTTTAAAATTATTACGGGAGAGGAAAGGGCAAAAGGAAAAAAAAGGAAAAATAAAAAGAAAAATAAGAAAGATCTGACTAGCTTTTCAGCTTGTCAGAGCTTGTATAATGGAAGAGAATTACAGATTTTTTTTGCAATAATTTTGAGGGAGTTAGTTTGTGATGGCTCCATTATGTAGAAAACTAATATAGGAAAATAATACATTTTTACCTTAATTTTGTTTTCTTCCAGTAAGTATATTGCCATTGACTTTGCCAGTGCTTCAAAGAAAAACCAGGAGTACTGGAAAAAGCAAAAAACGCTCTTAAACTTCTCAGTGTGACTGACCGTGTTTGACTATGTGGGGAAGAAATGGTGTATGAAGGAGGGTTTGGATTTAAACAGACCTTTAAACTAAACTCCTCGCTTCTTGCCATGTCCCAAATAAGCCTTTTTTACTACTGACCTTGAGCAGCTTATTGATGGCTAGAAAATCCGCCGATTGCTTCAGGATGGTGGCCATGGAAAGGCCCAGGATCTCGTGGGTGAGCTTGGCCTGCGTGGCGCTGGGTTTCTCGGCGCGGAAGGCGTACTGCAAGGCAGGAGGGATGGCGTGAGAGCGCGCGGGCACCCGGCGCGGGGACACGCGGGGCGGCAGGGGGTTGTGACCCACCTTTAGGAAGGAGCGCAGGTAGTGCTCCAGGCCTTCCTCGTGGCATTTGGACACGATGTGCAGGAGGACCCTGAGGAAAAACACCGTTTGGGTTCAGCATGCGGCAAGTTCCTGGGGCTCATGGACGCAGTGGCTGCCTGGGCCTTATTCAACCCCCTAAACCCCATCCCTGGTGTGCAAAGAGCCCAGTTTTCCAGCCGACAGCTGGGATTTTCTCCAGTCAGCCCTATCTGCTGCCTCTTCTGCATGTGTGGCTGTGCTGTCCCTGCTGTAGCCCCTCAACGAAGCATGTGGAGCCGAGCTTCCCAAATCCTTTTCCCCACTTTTGGACGAGGTGTCACCTGCACTACATGTTCTCCACCTCAGAGGCGAGGTGGAGGCTGCCACCACCTTTTCCCTCAGGGTGTGCCAGGATTAACATCCTGCGGCAACTCCAAATTACTCACAACTCAGTATCAGGCACCTGAGCACACTCAGGCACCAGCTACATCTAAAAGAAACAGATTAATTTGTCTGCACCTGGTTCTCCGGTGTCACCCAAGAATGGCTTTATTGACAGGGCTGCTAAGTGCAGAGCAAACGCTCGGGATTCCTCCACACCCTGCAGCTTATCACATACTGAGCTTGTCTTCACCCTAAGCCTTTCCTAATGCTACTGGGAGTGCTAATTAACAACTGTAACACTAAAAAAAAATTCCACAAAACCAATACAAAAAGCCCACAAAACCTCTGCTGAGAAAGGGGAAAATGTCTCCATGGTTGTTACACTCTGACTTTTCCCTGAATCTCCTGAATCGATTAACTCTGAAGGCTACTTTTTACTGAGTTTATAGCATGTGTATCCTCCTCACTCCCTGCTATTTGCTATATTGTTTTCTCGCTGTTGTCTCACAGTTCACTGGGGACAAGCGGGTGGTGGAGAACTCCAGGGACCTTCACGGAGGTGCCAAGCGCCCTTCACCAACCCCGGGGATTCACATTCTCCCTGCAGTCAAATGCAGCAACAAACTACCCTGCTTTGTCCCAGACCCCACAGGCCAAATCGTGGGGAGATTTTATGATCAGTTTATCAGACACGGTGGATTTCAAATTCCACTCTGAAAGCCTGGATGACAAAACAGTTGTCATGAAACACGGAGCTAAGCCTGGAAAGGAGCAAACAGAGCTTTGCAAACCCTCTGGGACTGAAGGTAGGAGGTTTCAGCAGGTGGTTGGAGGCTCTCGGTGCCCAAAACGGCCCTCAGGCTTCAGGGGAGGCAGATGCTTTTGGCCTGGGGATGCAAAGTGCTTTCCGGAGCTGGAGCAAGCTCTCCATAGAGCATTCCCCTTGGTGTTACACCACTTTGCGGAGGAGGCATCAGCCTGGATGTTTTGAATCGAACCAATTCACTCAGCAAGGGAAGTGCTTTTTGCAGGCCTAGCAGTGTCCCTCTGCTGTGACCAGGCCCTGGGCAGCACTGCCCTCTTGGGGCTGCAGAGTTTAAGAAAAAGCTCTAAAGAAGCTGCAGAGCTTAAGAAAAAGCTCTAAAGAAAAGCTCCTGGGCTACGTGGTCTGGGCATATGCAGCAGGTACTTCCCAACACCCAGGGAATTTTAGCAATGGGAGAGTGGCCCACAGGGTCTCTGAGGGAACCACGTCTGCTCCCCGCAGCCCAGGATGCTCTCACGGAGGCTGGAGCCTTTTGACACTGCAGTAACTCAGCTGCCTTCACACCCAGGAGCATCCCACCAGCAAACCCTGCCCCAGGTAACAGGGGGGCATCCTTAACCTCCCCAGTGAAGCTTTTGAACCAAATAAAGTGGCAGAAAAGAGAAGTATCCCGCTCCCAGGTTCCAGCCTGGCATCCTTCAGGAAGGAATCTGCTGAACTCTGCAGGATCTTTAAGAGAAAAGTCATTTTGGGAAACTGCTCATGAATTTGTTGTCATAAATGAAAAAATATGTTTCCTTTGAAAAATAAACCAGGAAGGTTCATTTCCATGCGCATCACAGGCTTAAACATCCCCTTAGCTCCCCACTGTCAGCACTGCACCTTCCCAGCAGCTCTAAAACAACAGTTTTCCCCACAGAACTCTCCTTTCTCCATTTGTACATGCTCTCAGGACAAGGACTCCATGCTGTGCCATGCCACCCACATGTGCTAGGAGAAAAGAGCAACTGGTGCTGCATGAAGCTGCTGGGAGCCTGCCTGGCCAGCCCATGCTGCCTCTTAGCACCTCGTAGTGGGAAACCACACCATCATTTGCACTCTACTTTGTGGCTTTGCATTTATGACTGAAGAAAGACGGATGGTTTACCAGACACTCACATGGTGCAGTTGACAGCTACTTCATCTTCCTGGGTCACATTTGTAAGGACTCTAAATAGTTGCATAAGAATTACAGGTAGAAACTGAATCATTACTTGGATCTCCATGGCGTGCAAACACTAAAACAAATGTTCAAAACACAGACACGTTTAGTTCAATATTTTACAGATGTTGTGAAATATTTATAGTCCACAGACATTTCTGTGGCAATAGGACAGGCATTAGCAAATGCTTCAGGGTGTGGGCTTCAGCCTGTCCGGGGCAGGAGACTTGGACCTCCACCACTGCTTACTCATAGAGCCTTCAGGGAACAATATGAATCACTCATGGCAGGTATTAATCTTCCTCTCAGATTTGTCCAGGCAGCTATGACTTAACCAGAAGTTACATGCTATGATATGACCCTAATGTCCCAAACCCTGAAAGTCCCTGAGACCAAATGCCAGGGAGGCAGGAGAAACGTAAACAGACCATTAAGATGTCACCCAGGAGCCTTGAAGCAGGACTAATCTGTTACAAACAGGAACAGCACAAAGAAGGGATCACTTGCCTATCAGCAAAGCCTTGAGGAACCAGCTGTGAACTGGTTTTCCTCAGAAACATCATCTAAGTGTGAGGAAAGAGGGGAAAGCAATTCTGCCTGGAGGCAGCACGCGGCCACCAACTTGATGACCACGGGCTCAGGGACTCTCTGACCCAAAAGAAAGAGGGAGCTGCACATACACAGTTACCTGAAAGTCATGAAGGACAAGAAAACCCATCCTGTAACAGATGAATTATAATATGCAGTAGATAGGTGGAATCTGCTAACAGTAACTGTATAAATAATGAGTATACCAAGCTGTTTGGGGTGCCAGTTTTGTGGAATTTAGCACCCATCTCTGCCTAGAAATGACTTAAGTACTTTGACCCTGTGTGTGCTTATTGCACAGCGGGTGATGACCCTGTTTTAGGGACAACAACCACATTATTCCAAAGTTAAGGCTGAAGTTCTGATCCCAACTCTTCGTGTCACTTGGGACAGTTTTCCAGAGCGACCAAATTCCATTTTCACAAGTGCCTTTAGAGCGAGTGAACTTGACATGCAATTACTTGCTGTGAGCCTTTCCTCCAAACATGAATTGATATCAGAAATACAAATGACTTAGCGAAGGTCAAGCTCATCTGACTGCATACATGCTCCAGCCATCCCATAGACATCTTATTTCATCTGGGTCTCAAGGTACAAGTCTGTGAAGATTCTGTGTATCATTTTCAAATTTCAAATTTTCAAATCTCAAAAAAAAAAATTCTTAAATCTGTATTGAGGTATTTAAATTACTGAACTATTTAAATAATTGGGGTATTGGTGGCAGGAGGCCCTAACTTGTGGTTAGCATGTAAATGTCTCTCTCCTTGCAAAGCTGCAGTGAGATCCCTGTGGCCAGGCAGGGCTAGGACCTAACCAGCTCCTTCAGGAATTGCTTACAAAGGCAACTACTGTTTTAATGCTTGGCTTAAAAAAAGGTCATTATTTTTATTACTTAAAATATTCATATGTTATCTGAAACACACCCAGTAACTTGGTGATGATAAATCCCCACCACTGTAAGTAGAGCTGTTGCTAGAGCAGCACACTTGAAAACAGGCTGTCCAGAAAAGAAAAAAGGACAGTAAACAGCCAAGAAAATTATTCCCTGCAGAAGCTTTCCTTGGACCTGTTCCTCTTTACTCATGCTGCAGGGAATGCCAAAAAGCTAGGTCAGGGTCACAGGCCATCTACAATTCAATATAACTGAGTTACAATCTCACAGATCCTCTTCTGCCTGAACAAGAATCCCGTGTTAAATGGAAAAATTTCCTGAAAACAAGAGTTTAAATCAGGTTAAATGCAGCAAGTGGAGAAGGTCTTTGCAGCTCTTGTAGACTGCCTGCTCAGGAGCGCCCAAGGCCTCCAAGAAGAGGCTCTGCCATAAATGATGCTATCTACCTGTTTGTATCTCTTGCAAAGTGGCATGCAAACAGCGGGCAGTTTGGTCAGTAAGCAAGGGAGAAGATAAGGATTTTGCACAATGCACCAGTCCTGGATGCTGCAGGGAGTGCATGTGTCTACACGTGCAGGGGTCTGGTGGCCCATTAAAACATAAACAAAGTGCACTGGAAGGCACTGTTCACCTTTAAGTATTTAACAAGGTCCCCTGGGACTTCCTTAGCTCCTGCTTGAACCAGCTGGCAGTACTGGAAGAATTTGTGCAAATGCATGTCCTGGAAGAGAAAAAAAAATCAAATTCAGTGCAACAGCCTCAGTCTTTCACAGCTCCTACAACTTCTACCTGCAAATCCACTGGCTTAGCTGCAGCAGCAAGCCCCATGTCACCAGCCCTGGCACTGCTCGAGTCCCCCCTGTGCCTTCTTCCTAGGCTACAGCACTGCTTCCCAAGGTTCTTGGGAAGCCCTTCCCAAGGTTCTCAGTCACCACCACCCTCTAGCTCCCAACCAATCCAAGATGAAGCACAAATCGCTGCCACGTTAAAATGTTGCCCTGATTTCACCACCCTCGGTCCTGACCCCATCCAACAGCAGCTTGGAGAAGCAGAACCAGCAAGACCCCAAGCCAGGCTCAGATGACACTGCAAACAAATTGCAGTGGATGAACATGATGCCGACGGTGTCCAGCACAGAACAAGGAGCCAGGCCGAGGGCTCTTCCTGGGGACAGCGAGGATGGGAGAGGGCCCGGAGCACGTGTGGGGAAATCTGCACTTCGCAAGAAGCGCGGGGAAGTACATCACCACCACAGGGCAGCACTGCACGCAGCGACCACACAAAACCGCCTCAACTGATTTCAAAGCTAAATTAGGGCTCTGCTTTCTTGTGAAAAGCGTCTGCTGTTGTCAGAATTTTTTTTTCCCCCTTGGAGCAATGACCATGATCCTTACATCACCCTAAAATCCACTGTAAGTACTTTAAAAATGAATGTCTTAACATAAACTTTCCTTGTCCAGTAGAGGACAGTCATGTCTTAAAGGTGACTTTTAAAATCAAGGAGGGACTTGCACAGAGATTCAAGGAGAATCAGAGAGTATGAGCTCCACTAATCCTGTGTCAAAAACGTAGGCTGTGTTTCAAACAAATAAATGTTGAACACCATATTCTCTATCCCCTGTGTCTGTACTCAAGTCCTTTCCTCAAATTCTGAAGTGGGAAAAACGTTTATACAAAATAATATATAATAATAATAATAATATAAAGCATATGTATGTATATATGATTATTATTTCTGGTGTGTACTAGTCTGTTGAAGACTAAGTACTGTGCAGCGTAGACTTGACTAATTAATACACTGCATTCTTAATAGATAGAACTCTAGTAATGAGTAGATGCTTGGATGAATTAAAAGAAAACCCTGTTTTTGTTTGAGGGCCAGAATGTCTTGTTTATAGTGTATGTTTGAAGGATAGTTTTTGTAGGACTACTGAGTTTTATATGTAATTCTTGGGTTTCAACCAATAAAAATTCCATGAATGCCATCCATTCATCACTAACAATGAAAATGAGATGAGAAGCTACATCTGTTCTGGTGCAGCTGAATGCCCAGTATGGTTGCAGGCAGTACTTTTCTGGAAATATTTTCCAGAAAGTAGACAATGCTTTAATGCTGTTAGAACTACTTGGTGGATATGAGAAGCAGCTACAATATGCTTATTGCATAAAACATTGTTGCACTGTATAAAGGTTCAAGGCATGAGAGCCTAGGGGAAGTAAGCTACATGTGTGGGCTCCTTGTAGTGATTTTGTTTTCAGCCATGTGTTGCACTAGAAGCTGAAGAGGTGATTTTATGTTTGGAATTTAAACATCTCATTAAACCCACCTCACCTCAGTCGATCTAGACACTCCTTCACTCTACATAGTCACTGTTAAAATGTCCCATGATGGATTCTGGCTCCTGCCTTTCTTATTTAGCACCATAAGAAGGTTATGGGGGAGCAGGGTGTTGGGTTTTGAAAGTTTTCAGCCATAATTAAAAAATATTACCAATTCGAGCTTTTGAACATGTGTAGTTCAGTGTATGTCTTCTAACATCCATGATCATCTCTTTGCTGTTCAGGATCAATATGAACAGGAGGACTTTGTGATTAAGTCCAGTGACAATCTTGTACTTTGTGGCAGAGTTGATAAAGATTACTGTAGTTTAGAGGTTCATGGTAAGTAATGGGGCATTTGTTCCTTATGGTGAAGCTGAGAAATACTTTTTACATAGCCTGTTGCCTATCTCTCTCTCTCTCTCTTTTTTTTTTTTTTTTCCCCTCTGCTCCCCTTCATTTGCCCTATACATTTAGTCTTTCCTATGCCCTGGTGCTTCAGCCACTTTCCAGGAACAGAGTATGCCATGTGGAGCTAATGTTATCCTAGACAGTAGAGTACCTTTTTCAGTCTATGTAACTTTTGCTTTCCTTGTTATGATCTTAGTAACACTTAGAAAATATTAAGGCCTTTTTATTCTCTAAACATACAATTCTTTCTTCCAAACTATCTTCCTATCATGATAGTTTCCTGCATTCTTTTTTTTTCCCTTTGCTTATTTAAATGCGTTCTCAGCCTGCTCTTTAAAACATGAACTTAGAAATGGTGCCGTGATTCCGTGTATATATTTGATGATGATTTGATACCGTGTTGTGAGGAGAAAAATACTTGGCAAAAGAGTATGTTGTGCTTAGTATAGAGTTGCTTTACCAAAATGCTTTCTTGTACATCAGTTACCCCCTGCTAATGGTAACTTCCCCTGACTCCTCCAGGTTCCTCTAATTTGAAAACTGTCTTTACTTGCTCCCGTTTCCCACGTGACTGAACCTGAAATTATTTCATTTTTTACTCAGTAAAATAAGTCTTTAAAACTTCATTACTATCTTCTAATGCATAACAGGGAATACTTTTTGGTCATACATATATGCAACATTTTTCGGATGCTCTTGCAAGCAAAAAAACAAGAGAGAATGTTAGGGATAAAGTGCTTAAACTTTGCTGAATTCATAAGTTTCTTACATAAAGCTCTCCCGAGAATGTTTGTTTATTTTGCATAATTCTGGGAGGTGTAACACTATTGAGTGGAGGCTCTGACCTTATGTTAAACTCCGAACACATTGTAAATTTGCATTCTAAATCTTACCAAGAATT